ATGTCTTTTTGTGTAATTTTTTTAGTTCATTTCATTCAATTTGATTTGTTTCTATCATATATTATACCTTAATTCTTTAGGTCGAATGTAGTTTTCTATGTTTCTTTTTTTATTTACATTTGTAATCTTTGATGATTTTTACCGTGATTAATATTTATTTTTTGATTGTGTTATTTTTTATTTAATTTAAGTGAAGTTATTCTAATACTTTTTATGTTATCATTTTCTGTTAAATTATTTTCTATTCAATCATTTATACTAACATGTTTTTATATTATTGAATTATTTGAATTGAATAATTTTTTAATTTTATTATTTTTTGTTAATTTTTTATTCCGTCATTTATACTAACATGTGTTTATTATTGAATTGTGGATTTATTTTTCTTCAAATGTGTAATGTTGTATGTTAAATTATTTCTATTCTTTTTATCTTCATCTTTTTATTTGGTGAATAGGTAAATTATTTGATGCACTTTCTTATAGATTTTTATTTTAATAATAGATTTGTGGGTGATAAAATATTAGAGTATGATTAAAATTTGATTAATTTTATTTGTAATTGTATGTTATTTTTTAATTTAATAATAGTGCAGCTAATCGAATACATTTTAATTTTATTATTTTTTGTTAATTTTTTATTCCGTCATTTATACTAACATGTGTTTATTATTGAATTGTGGATTTATTTTTCTTCAAATGTGTAATGTTGTATGTTAAATTATTTCTATTCTTTTTATCTTCATCTTTTTATTTGGTGAATAGGTAAATTATTTGATGGCTAGCCGAATAAAATTTGAATATATTTGCGAATAAAATAGTAGAAGTTCAAGAATGAAGAACAATATTTATCAAAGTGAAAAACCTATGCAAATGATGATATTGTTAGATCTATAATGTCTTATTATGTTGTTTTTATTTAGTTTATTTCATTCAATTTGATTTGTTTTTGTCATATTTTGTACATAAATGATTTAAATCAAATGATTGAACCATGAATCTATTCTTCTTCAAATGTGTAATGTTGTATGTTAAATTATTTCTATTCTTTTTATCTTCATCTTTTTATTTGGTGAATAGGTAAATTATTTGATGGCTAGCCGAATAAAATTTGAATATATTTGCGAATAAAATAGTAGAAGTTCAAGAATGAAGAACAATATTTATCAAACTAAAAATCCTCAAATAATGATATTGATAAGCATAATGTCTTATTGTGACTTTTTAGTTTATTTCATTCAATTTGATTTGTTTATGTGATAATATGTAATTAAATTCTTTAAATCAAATGAGTTTTATATGTTTTTTTATTTACATTTGTAATCTTTGATATTTTAACTGTGATTAATATATTTTTTAGATTGTACGTTATTTTTTTAATTTAATTTTAGTGAAGTTATTCTAATACTTTTTTTTCATTTTCTGTTAATTTTATTCAATCATTTACACTAACATGTTATTGATTGTTGGATTATTGGTAATATGTTCACATTTTTAAAATGCTAAATATGTGCAATTGAATATATTAATTACTATGGAATTATTAGTTTAATGTATCGATAAATGTAGAATATCATGATTTATGCATATTATTCCACTTTCTTATAGCTTTTTAGTAATATATGTGTGCGTGATAAAATATTAAAGTATGAACAAAATTTTGTTCAGTTAAATTTTATTTAAAATATAATTTTTTAAAATTGTTACTATACAAAAAAAAAAGGGGTTGTCTTTGAAATTTTAGAGCCTTCAAACCTATAGAATATACAGCTATTCTAAAAATTAAATGTACAAAAAAGACTTCTTATATTATAAGATATTAGAGAATTTGAAATTATTTTGTCAAAACTGAAATAAATAATAGGTCATTTAGTTAATTAGAAATTACCATTTAATTAATAAGAGAATATGCACTATTGTATATGAGATCGAGACAAATATTAATGTGTTTCAAAATATTAGATCAAAGCGAACTCAAAAATTAAGATTATTTTTATTATAACATGGAATTCAGACATTTAAAAAAAATATGGAATTTATATAAAATTTTAAATAGTTAGTTAGGAATTATAAAATTATTTTTAAAATGATAAGTTAGTTATTTTAAAATTATAAAATTATTTGCAATTTTTTAAATAATTGAGACTGACTAATTAAAAGTTCAAATTTTGAATTTAATACTTATAGTTTTTGAAGATAGTTACACTTTTCCGTGTTTATCATAATTGTAAGGTAATTATATAACTACTCTCTAATAGTGCATGTATTTATTTTGTTTGTTCAAAAATATTTTATTTGTACTTAACCTCAATTTATATCTCAATTATGTAGAAACTTTAATAGTGATCATAAATAATTTCAATCATTATTATTAATAGAACATTATAAGAATTATTACTAAAGGTATCTATGTTAATAAAAAATTAAATTATTGTATGTATTATTGATATATGATTAAAGAAAATAGCACGGGGAAGAAAATAGTAAGTAAATATTACACGTTG